TGATTCCATCGTTTTAATCTTGACCTAAATGTTCTGACTTTGATTCTGAAAGATTCAATTCTCGAACTAAGTCATTAAGTTCGCTCTGTGTGATCAAATGCAGCGCTGTTGAACATCCTGGCAGGTCAAATGAAGGATAGGAAATTTTTACGCTTTCTGTAACGTCACTTTCAGAATCGGTATATTTGACCTTTTCATCCAAAGACCAAGATTCTGGTGGAACTGGGACTGAAAGTTCATCACTATGCTTATAGGGCCGCAAAGTTGATGGTAAATTAACCATTTAACAGTATGTTTGGATTTTGGTCCAATACCGTTAATATTTGTGAGTCCAAAATAGCAAGCAGTAGTATGGTCTCTCGGTTCTTTCCAAACCATTGGTACTACAAAGGGCATTTTACGATTGTCGCCTCTTAACAAACCTGTTAACAACGTTACACAAGTCTTACAACATATATACGGAGCCCATAGTTTATCTTGGTCGCCAAATTCAATTCCAAAATAATGTTCGTATGCTTTCAACACAAGGGGAGTAAAAGTACGTTTTGGGGATTTAAAAGTAGGGTCTCCGCACACATAACAAAAACTGTTCGCACTATTTACACAATTTCTAGGCATTGTCCATAAAGCTAGTCTCAATCACAATAAACTAAAAACAACACACCGTTTAAACAAAAATTAACATTACTCAGAACAACACAGAAAACGTAACTGACTAATATGCTCTCTAAACATAGAGATCGCATATAATAAACAGGAATAGACAGGTCTTAACATTATATATGTGCGTCATCGCATAAACGCCGAGAAATGCAGCAATGTGAGATGTTACGTATTGTAATTCATAAAAGTAGATGTTACCGAATATCTATGGGTGATAGAGAAATTATGTTTTTAAATTTGATTTAAGGGTTTCAAAATACATAAGATAAACCCAAAAATTGTTATATCACAAATCCTGTGTTTATCAGTATTTTTGATACTGCCTACGGTTCAATAAGCAGTACGATAAATCCTTACGTGTGTAGGCCGTTTAAGTCTAAGTAAAAATAACAATATTTTCTCATATCAGTATGTATAGATTCTTAGCTGCATATTTGCAGTATGAACTTCGCATGCTTTATCTTTGTGCGAAACAATGCCAATGCCAACATGTTGCAATAACCGCAATTATACATATACATTGCCATTCGCAGAGATTTTTGGCTAATCAAAAAGCAAACAAATCTCTATAAGTTAACACTACTAGATACGCGTTTTACAAGGCTCAATGAAAAACGTACTTTTGTAGTACTACGCCGCGCATAAAAAACACTAAGAAGCACAACCCTTTGCAGCTAATACAACGGCGACGCTATTTCCTCTACCATTTTGGGTAGATGGCTGGACCGGATGGTGAATGCGAGGGTGCAGTACTGCATCGAGAGTAAGGCGCGTGTAAGTGACTGCCAGTACAGATTTAGGACTGGTAGGGGTACGACTGCAGCGATTGAGAGTATGATAGAGAAAATAGAAGAGGGGAGCGGGTTGGGTAGACACTCCATGGTCGTCGCCCTGGACATGTCGAATGCATTCAACATGGTCAGGTGCAAAGCGGTCATGGAGGGTATGTATGAATGTGGGGTGCATGATAACCTGTTGGGGCTGTGTTGCAGTTTCCTCAGGGGGCGCATGGTGAAGGGAGGATGCAGAGAGAAAGTGGTCAACCGTGGCTGCCCCCAGGGTTCATGCTTGGGGCCGACCATGTGGATATGTGTGATGGAGGGTTGGATAAAGCGGACGAGGAGGCTGAGTGAGGAATGGCAGAGGGAGGAGGAGATTGAGGAATATGTGTACAGGGTGTATGCTGATGATCAGTTAGTGATTGTGCGAGGGAAGTCTGTTAAGGTGATTGAGGCGAGATGGAAGAGGATAGAGGAAGAATGTGGGAGGTGGGAGGTAGAATGTGGACTGATATACAATGGTGCGAAGACTGAGGCTATGTTTGTGGAACATGATAAGAGGATAAGGGAACCGGTGATCTATATGAAAGGGGTGCGTGTGATGATGAAAGAAGGAGTGAAATACCTGGCAATGTTTGTAGACAGGAAGCGCAACTGGATCGAGCATGTGAAGAGAGTGAGAGCGAGAGTGGGTGAAGTGATAGGCAAGATGAGGGGGATCTTTCAAAGGAAGTGGGGGATAAGGAAGGAGGTCTCCAAACTTATCTATGAGAGAGTCTTGAAGAGTGCGATTTTGTACGGGTGCGAGGTATGGGGAGTAAGGGCGAATGACAGCAGAGTGAGGAAGCAGTTGAGTGCAATTCAGAGGTTGTGTGCATTGATGGTTGGAAGAGTATATCGGACCGTGGCGACAGAAAGCCTGGAAGTGTTGAACGGGATGAAACCTCTGGATATAGTTGTGCATGAGATATGGATACTGAGGAAGGGTGAGCGACGAATGAGTGGGGACTACAAGGTGAGGGGTGAGGACAAACCTCACCCGGCCTGGGATGTCAGCGTGAGTGGAACACGACCGAACGAGGCAGGATGGAAGATATATGTGGATGCTAGCGTGGACGATGATAAAACGGGCGTAGGTGCGGTGGCAACGCGGTGTGGCCAGGTTGAGGTTCAAGCCTCCGAAAGAGTTGGGGGAGTTTCCTCGTCCTTGCTGGGGAGCTCTCCGCTATCTACAGGGGGTTAGAGTCGGGAATGCGGCTACACGCGGACATCCTTGAGGTGTTCACGGACTGCAGGGTGACGGTGGACAGTCTGCAGAGCTACGGCATGAAAGGGAAGATGCGAATGAAGATAAAGATGCTGATTGGCAGGATGAGAGCGGAAGGGATGCACGTGGAGATAAGATGGATCGAGAGAGGAGCATGCGAGTTTATGAAGATGGCTGATAGACGAGCGCGAGAGGGGCGGCAGAGAGACAGGGTGGATTGGCATAACGAATGATGCAAGAATGGCAGATTAGGTTTGGATTGATGAGAGGGAGTATGGTCTGCGAGTGTGGAAGAGGGGATGAAAGCGCTAAGCACATTAGAGAAGAATGTGGGCTGGAAGGGAGACAGGATGCGAGGGAGCGTGTGAGGCTCATATGGGGCGGCCTCAGACCTCAGTTGAGGGTGGAAGGGAGCGTGAATGATAGGGCTATTGAATTGGTGAATGAATGTGCAGAAAGTGTGGTGATGGATGGACAGCGGTGAAGCTCAGCTGTAAGGCATAATAGTTTTAGTATAGGGTGTTTTCTTTTCATACTGTTTTATTAGGGATTAGTTTAATAGATAATTATAATAATAAAACACATTATGTTCTATTGGATGTTTAGTTAGTTAGGTAATAGTCAGTTAGGTTTTTTCAGTTTTGATGACGATGTTATAGGGTTTCTTTTTAGGGGTTTAGGTTGATAGATAATTATAATAATAATATATATGTAGTATTGGAAGGCCCGAAAAAAAAAATTGAAGAAGAAAAAAAAATGCCTTTCCTCGCTAATTTTTGGATGGCGGCGGTTGGTGGGTTTCTTTGGTAGTGGTTTTGCTAGAAGCAGTGGGGAGGAACAAGGGTTAAAGCCGAAAGGTGGGAAACAAACGTATTCGTTGAGCATGTCGTCTCAAAATGCTTGCCTTTCATCGGCCTTTTCAGGCGAGGAAACAAAAAAAAGTCCGGGGGGGGGCACATCTGGGCTGTAGGGCGGCTGCGGAAGCGCTGGGATGCCGGCCTTGGTCAAGTAGCTTTTCACAAGAAAGGCGGTGTGAGCCAGGGCGTTGTCGTGGTGCGACTTCCAGTCGGCTGCGATGTCTTGTCGGACCCGACTGACCCTTCGTTTGAGTCTCCTGAGCACTTCCACGTAAAACTTGGCGTTGACGGTTTGTTCAGGAGGAACAAATTCATGGTAGACGATGCCTTTGATGTCAAAAAAGACAATGAGCATCGTTTTCACTTTGGATTTGCTCATTTTTCCCTTTTTTTGGGCGAGGAGACGCCGTCGTGTGCCACTCGGAAGATTGCCTCTTTGTCTCGGGATCATACTCAAAGATCCACGACTCGTCACCTGTGATTACGTTATTCAAAAATTGGGGGTCACTTTCGCACATGTTCAAATTTTCTTGGCACACAGCCACTCGCCGCAATTTCTGGTCGTCAGTGAGTACTTTTGGGACCATCTTCGCGCATGTTCAAATGCTGTGTCACAATGAACCATGAACCACAGATTTTGGTAAATTTAACATCTGGGCAATTAAACGAATACTTAGTCGACTATCTGAGTTCAAAACTTTGCGCACACGAGTCACATTATCGGTGGTTGTCGAAGTCGACGGTCTTCCAGCAAGGTCTTCATCAGCGACCTCTTCCCGGCCCCCCAAAAAGGTCTGCTGCCACCGAAACACACCACTTCTTGCTAAAGCAACACCTGGGTAAGCCTGCTTGATCGTATCAAACGTCTCTGTCGCAGATTCACCGAGTTTCACACAGAATTTAATCGCGTACCTCTGCTCTAACGAACGCTGCATTTTCGGTTTGCACCACTCACAGAAACACGTCGCGCGAAAATGCCTGTCCTGACTCTAGAAGTGCTCGGAGACAACTGAGCAGCCGCTCAATCGTTAGCTAGGAACGCCCTCCACCGAATCCAGTCGGTGCGCGCATGCTCCGAATTACAGTCATGGCGGAAGAAAATGAGTCCTATTACTTTCCGGACAAACCCTGTATGTGGCAGACAATTATCCGGGATCCGTGACAGGCCCTGAGCATCAACTACTGCAATTCCACTCCTTTACGGTAATGTGTGTATATAAGCCGCGTTCATATTCAATTATGTAGTCCAGTATAAAACAAATGCATGACTCAGGATGTAACGTAACTGGTAAACACGTGCGGCGTGAAAATTTTGTCAAAGGGGAGCTTAAAGTCATTTTGAGTCCAGTATGAATATAGCTCCCTTAGTTACCATGATAACTGGAAAACTTCTACGTTACTTTTTAACAAAATTCACTTAATTTTTGTTCCTAGGGTGGACGAAAAACAGGAGGTAATTTTGCTTCTGACCAACATCAGCATGTCCGATGGCACGACTACAACTCAGGCACCGATTCTGGAATTGGAGGAAGCAACCACTAAAGAACAATGGACCATCAAGCTATGTTCCATTATGATGCTAGCATCGACAGTTCTCTCGCTCATCAAGATCTATACTTTGTTCGATTTCTGTCGGAGAGCGTCTATCAATATTCACAAGTCGATGATTCGCTGCATTTTGAGTGCTATCATGTCATTCTTTGACACCCACTTCATCGGAAATGTGCTGAATAGGTTTTCACAGGATTTGAACAATATCGATGAAATTTTGCCGTTCACTTTTATTGAGTTTACAAGGGTAAGAAGGGGAATTCCAGTACATTGATACTGACAGTTATATCTAAATATAGGTGTATTGATTTGTAGATAAATCGACCGATATAAATTCTGATACGCTGAGATATGCCATCTAATACACATTAAAACGCTTTATTGCCCAAAATTATTGAATCGAAATAAAGCGCATGCATTGGAGGTATACTTCCATTGTCTCCAGATAAAGTTTTACAATAAACCAGTAGTACAGCTATTGTTCTTTTGACGACAGACGGCCTGCCATGGACTAGGAGTACGAGGTCTATCGAAATGAGACAAGTCCAACAGACAGCTTGCTGTTTCCACTATCGCAGTGGTCGATTCTGATGATGCACTTTGTGATGTCTTATTTCGATAGACCTCATGCTCTGGATAGAGGATAGTTGCTCAGCTTTCATTCTTTATTCTACCTGAGATCAAGCCTATACCATGCTTAGGAGTTGATAGCAAAAAATAGTAGTTGGCCATCTGTGGCCAGACGGATGAGACTTATATTACTAGTTTGTTCAATCGTATCTACTATAGCACCAGAATCGGTGGCATCTAGCGGCCACAGTGGTCAGCCAGCTGACAATGCGAACTCCAGCTCCAACAGCTTGCAGTTTTCACTCTCACTTTTTTTATACTCCAACCACCACGAAGGCCTAAGACCTAAACACACATGAGTTACCGTGGAAAGGGAGAATGCTTCACGGACTCTGGCGAGGGAACACGTATGCATGCAACATGCACACATTCTGGCCCCGCCTACGAGTAGTACCTCTGCGTTCGACAGTCAGAGACCGCCGACCACCCACGGACAATCACAGCCTCCATAGCCAAGAGAAAAGTTTCTCTTGGGACCGGATTCGAACCCCCACAGCGCACGGCGACTGATCAGGAGACCGAGGAGTCTACTACTGCGGCCACCGCTGCTGTCGCTGCAGTCGATTCTGGGAATAGACGGCATTTTGTGCTGCCTTATTTCGATAATCTTTTTTCGACAAATTCATAGAAAGCTAATTGAGGGGTCCTATCTATAAACCAGTCAAGTTACATAAGGAAAAATGTCGACGAAGCAAAAAAAACGTTTTTGATGTGAATTTTTTAGTTACTGAAAATTATCGTATCTGTTGTCAGTTGCCGATAATATTTGTAAATGAAAAAAATAAGCTATGAGTAAAATTTATTAACTAATGGACTTGGTCTTTTTTTGTTTAGTTACTGAATGAAATGAAACGTTTAATCCAACTTTTGATACAAACTGAAAATATTTTCATTTATTCATCTTCATTGAATTCTGATGCAGAAGTTTCTTCATGATCTGGCGAAAAGCTCTGATGGTATATACTGATCACATTGTGGCACAAAGTTTTCAGCCATTTTCTCTAGCTTTCTTCTTTCACTATACATCTTAGTTGTAGTGTTTGGTAGAGTCAGGGGCTGCACATTCCTATTATCTCGGATTTCAAAAATATCAAACTGATACGAGGCTGTTTCACTACATTTAAATATTTCTTTATCTGGTTTCATTCATAGTGCATGATTCAATATTTTAAAATCGAAAATTTATTCCCTTCAGTTTAAGAATATACCTATCCTGCGCTATATGGATGACTTTAAAGTTTTTGTTTATATCTTCAATAATCTTTCAGTACTCCTGCGGCAAATATATTTAGTCGTGCTTCCTTTTTGAATTTCTATGGCTCCAAAGCTCCTATCGCACGGCTGACAGTACTGTGCCAAAACTAGTCAATTCCAGGACTTGATCGGTTTACGCAAGGTTTAATGCCGTAGGCAACCAATTATACACTTCAGTTTCCATAGTTTAAATGCAACAAAGCTAGTTTATGCAGTGGAAGGTTCAGAGCTTAAAGCTGTGTAAGAATATAATCCTAACTCATTTTGCCCAAAAAATGAACTTGACCGGTTTATGTATTGGACATTGCTCACCTCAATTGTGCTACGGACTCTCGAACTCATTTAGATCGAAGTCTTACAAAGTCACAGACATTAGCCTTTCGCATCTGGTACTTCTTTAGTTACATACATATTAAACTTGGTGGAGTCAAAGTAAGGCGCGATGCTTACTAGAAAAACCCTGTTCAATGAAACCGATTTCTTGAAGCTAGAAACTGAAGTTGTTTGCAACAGGCCGCTCAGGACTATACGTTTTCTGTTTAATGAACCACAACTCCACAAAGCCAGCTCCCAAGACGCTTCGAACTTTTCATGTTACGATTGGTCATTTATTATCTTAGTTTGGTGTAGCCGAATTTGAAGGTTTTCATTTAGATAATTTTTCGCACCAGCAAAAAAAAAAAAGAAAAATTAAAAGATGATCCAAAAGTCCTACTTAGGACTCCTGTGGTGTTTCAGCTTTTGAGATCGCGACGTTTCGATTGATCGATTGATCGCCTTCAGGCAAACTGGCAAACATGTTCCTTCTACTACTACTCGAATCGCCGACGCGTCCTATGCTTCAGCGTGCCTTAGATGACGTGGCGATTGTTGGTGATTACCTGCCCTTTATGATTTATTTCCCGGTCGGTCCAACTTGAGCTTCTTGACTTTGTTGCTGATCGACACAACGGAAGTCCAAAATATAACTTTTGAAAGTGGAGGAGGTCTTTGATGATACTCTGAGAAAATTGGAAATGAGCATATACTACTGCTGCGTTATGTTGCCGATTTCTGATCAACGGGTTACTGTTTATTTCGTAGCCGCCACCGCAAAACAGTTGCATTACCGTAACCGTCAGAATCCATATCGTAACAGATGGAAGAGATTTACCTTGTACGCATGTCTAAATGCAACTGGTTTCTTGAAAATGATTTATGAAATTAGTTTCTCTAAACAGCTTTTTCTGGTGATGCAGTCATCATGCCTAGATGCTTTGAGTAGTTCAGATGCATTGCAACGGAGATGTATGGCCGATAAGCCAATATTATCGGCTTTTTATATTTCGATATCGGCCAATCCTAAATCGATTAATCTCCAATTGTAAACCACATATATTTGATCTTTACAGGTACTCTTTGCAGTGAGTGGTATCATAGCTTTACTGGCGACAGTCAATATTTATTTCCTTATCACTTCGTTTATTCTTTTTGGCATATTGGCATTTTTAAGAAAACTGTACCTGCCTACAGGACGAAGTTTGAAAAGACTGGAGGCTGCTAGTACGTATTTACTTTTTCTAATTACTTCGGAATTTTATATATTATACCATTGATTAACATATTTCACCAGAAGATACACAGTCCAGTTGAGAGCATGCGCAAAGAAGGATACGTGGCACCGCTAATCACTTATGCTTATAAACATCGTCCTGAGACGGCAGAATTGCTATTTTTCTTTTCTTACTGTTGCTGCAGGTTAGGAGATTTCCTTTTTTGTTGTTGAAATATTCTAAGAATACGAAGTCTTAGGAGTGGTTACATAGGTCCACATTCGATCTAAGGGTTAGCACTGGACCCCATAAGGGTATCTGATGGTTTTTGGAGCTGCTCATTTAAATGCAGAGTTCGGTTGACTTCTATCATGTGTCAATCTCATTTTGAAGTCAAATTAAAAATATTGCCCAAACATTTTTCAAAAAAAAATCTTTGCAAATCTGGTGATGCTTGTTTGATCTAGTGGTCCCTCCAAACGGTATTTCAATTTCAAATTAAGGTTAATTCAAGATCAAAATTTGTGAAAGTGTCAGAACTTCTCTGAATCTCTGGCGTTTATTTTTCCGGTGAGGTCTTCTAGGAGTTATTTCAAGGTCACACTAAGGTCGTTCCATACAAGTGTCTGAAACCATTGAACAACCTCCTCACGCACGTTTTAGAGGTCGCTGAATGGGACTATAGTATTTGTTTTACCAAGTGAAGTTATTCAAAAGCTATTTCAAGGTCAACGTGTGTACAACTGTTTGAATCTGTCAGAAAACCTCCACATGCCCATTTACCGGACAGTAAATCCAAATTTGGCGTTGGTTTTAAGCGGCAAGGCCATGCGGTGGTTACTTTGAAGTCATATTAAGGTTGTTTCAAAATTAATAACCTTGCTGGGCGAAACTAACAGAAGAATTGTATCATCTACCGAAAAGACTATAAGTTTTTCAGTTTTTTTAGTTGAGCCACCTCTCGAGTCCTAAGGGATTTTGTGATATCTCGTAGATACATTGCTGACCTGTTTTATGAGAAAATTTTACTTGCAATGTGAATATCATGTTTAAGAATACAAAATTTCATTTAAAAGGATAATGAAGTCTCTTTTTATTACCTTTGAGAAAATTACTGCGATCTTGATTGAGTGCTGTGACGATGGCAATTATATATAAATATCTATCTGTATATGTCGGCGTCAATCCCTGAAATGCCTAGTGAGTCCCCGTATTACCGGCAAACACAGCAACAGTGTGATTATTACATTTGACTAAGCATTTCAGTCATTCCCTGTAATGACTGAACAATTTCAGTCAAACACCGTAACAACCACATTAACTTCGTTACTGCATTCGCCTATTGTAGTCAAACGCTGTAATCAATACAGTGTTGCTCCAGTGAAGTACATAATATAACAAGGTACTACTTCATCAATAATATTAAAAGAAAAATAATCAAGCATGAATTAATCTAAAAGGAAAGAAGAATAAATTAAAACGTTGTCTTTATTATTACATTATTGTCGTTTTTCAATCAAGGATTTATATTCCTAAATCCGACAACAATGGACGCTGCTGATGAGCAAGCATATGTACGTTATAATTTAGGTTAGGTTCACAAAATTATAAAAATTAACTTACCTCCTTTAACTCATTTGTATTCCATGGTTTTTTCTTATTCACACTGTCATAGTTTTTTCTTTTTCTGAATGCTGCGACATCTTTACAAACACAGAAAAGACGATGTGTATACTCAAGCAAATGAACACAAAAGTGGTACAATGAATGACTGAATCAGGCAAATGGAGTAACGAAGTTAATGTGGTTGTTACGGTGTTTGACCGAAATTGTTCAGTCATTATAGGGAATAACTGAAATGCTTAGTCAAACGTTGTAATAAGCAAACTGTTTCGGTGTTTTCCGGCAATACAGGGACTGACTAGGCATTTCTGGGAATGACGGATCTCAGCGTTTGACGCCGACATATATACAGCTTAGGGTTGGGTATCTTTTTATTAGAAATACGTTAATCAATGATTCTGCGCACATATTATGGTTATTCAAATGAATACCTCTTCAGATAATCGTTATGTATTGGTTTAGGACATTTATGTTTTTTACAACAAAAGCGGAGTGACTAATGATTAAACAAGTAGCTTTTTCCAGCACGAAGTCCCATGATAGGACACCTGAACGCTTCTTTGGAAGGTTTAACCACAATACGAGCTTACAAAGCACAACAAATTTTAACCGATGAGTTCGACAGACATCAGGATCTATATACGTCTGCCTATTTTACATCGTTATGCACATCTAAGGCATTTGGTTTTTTCATGGATTCTATGTGCTCAATATTCATCGCTGGGGTGGTGTTGACTTTCATTGTTATGGACAAAGGTAAGAATTTGTTTTTACTTAGCACAGGTCCAAATACTGGATGGTTAAAATCAATGGCAACATTCATAGAGCATTCGAATGTGTTATAAATTCCTATAAGCGTGCATTCAAATAGGATGGGATATACCACTTGTTTTCTGTAAGAAACAAAATATCGCAGTTTTCAGAGTAATGACAATTTTTTTTATATACTATACTCTGAAAACCAGATACCACTGACGTCGTAAGAGATAGAAGCACCTCGCTGCCTAGCAATCCGAGTACGAGGCCACGGACGCCATGGGCGCACTCTTTCTGACATACATATTGGACGCTTCCCGCGTACACATTACGACGTCAGTCAAATTTGAACCGCACCGTATGCGCAAGTGAAGTCAGGTGACTTCTAAGCTTTGTTCTACTCAACTCTTATCAGTGGTTTCTGTGTTTGGATTTAAAAGGTCATATATGAGTTAGAAGCATATCTAATCGTTTAACAGGAGCATCAGAAATGACACCAATTTTGCCGCTATAAGCCATTTTTTACATTTCGTGTTCTGCAATATATTACACGCTGATGAACAAGAATTATTTCCAGGATATACTGCGGGTGATGTAGGTCTAGCAATCACCCAAGTGATAAACCTGGCTGATGATGTTCAGTGGGGAGTAAGACAATGGGCAGAAATCGAAAATCTGATGACATCAGTGGAAAGATTGGTTGAGTATACGGAAATCAAAACTGAAACCTCTGGAGGAGCCGTGGTTAGTGTACAGTATTGAATTAAAGGAGTAACGTCACGCTATGCAATAAACACTTCACAGTATAAGTTATGGTATTCTGATAACATTAACATCATCCAAGTCCCAACGAGTATAATACCGTTCTATACTCGTGAGACAGGATGTGAAGCTTGCATTTTCACCCGACACATTTCTGGAAAATTGTTATCTTGAGATATAAAACCGGTCGTCGACCATTCTCTGTACTCATTTCGTTACTTAATCCCCTGTAACCAACTGTTGCTGATGCATTAATAAAAGTTCATCTACAAAAGAACTGACAAATTTATTTTATACACTTCACTATTTCCAGGGGAAAGATTGCAACTGAATCTGGCAACTTATTTCTGGAACCGTAATACTCGACGCTTAGTGAACCAGCGGCGTGTATTCACATTCTTTATATTCAGCTTTGTTATAAATGATTCTACTCACGTCGGTGATACTACACAGATTATTGTCGAAATTTCTTCCTGATAATTTATGTCAAAGTTACGTCGATGATAGCGACTTCGGATAAGCAATGCTTGATTTTCGTAATCCTACAATGCTTTCTGAATCATTTGGTTAGTCCTCGTTTTGTTTCCTATAAATCTTTTTATACAGGGCGATGAATGGAACGAGTATTTTTAGTTAACTGGCTTAAGCTTCTTGTATCAATTTTACTTCCCACGATACTGGTGAGGAAGTACTGTAATCGAGAAAAAATTCCAAAATTGGATATTAGAATTTTTGATTCTTATATGTCACCTCATGTCACTCATTTCCATCGCTGATCATTCACCCCGGTATAACTTGGAAAGTACCTGTCGGAGTTTGATTAAATTTTCACACAAGCTTACTACTATGTCAAGGACAAAAAAGCTTCTTTCAGAAAAAAATTGTTGGAGTTGAGGATTGGGGATTGGGAGTTGTATGGGGTAGGGGGTTGTTATTATTTAGAAATTTGTGATCCCGGTAGTATTACCCACTTGTTAGACACAATACCACACATATTTCGCACTTTGTTTACTTCGGTAGCTTTATCAATAGGTACCCAGGAACATAGTTGTCAAATGATAAAGATAACAAAGCGCGCAACAGTTGCTTTAGATATATGCATATTCAAAGTCCTTTTGTCAACGAATGCATAAGAACAGAGTAAGTCTACTTGATGCAATTTTTTTTGTTTATAACAAGGTCGAGGGGTATTAGATGAATAGTTTTTAAAATATCACGAAATGCTCTTTATAGCGAAGTGAACCTCTATTAATTCCTGTGTAATAATTTACTCTTCTAGGTTTCTGAATGGCCGAGCAAGGGTGCTATTACATACGACAAAGTGCATCTCAGTTACACCAAAAATGATACAGTTCTCAAAGACATCAGCTTCGTCGTGAAACCGAAAGAAAAAATCGGAATTGTTGGCAGGACGGGAGCTGGGAAATCTTCTGTCATATCGACGCTTTTCAGGCTTTATGAAGCAGATGGGAAGATTCTAGTTGATGGCGTGGACATAAAAACGTTGTCTTTGAAGTTTCTCCGACAGAAAATTGCTATTATTCCTCAAGATCCAGTGATGTTTTCTGGCACTGTACGGACAAATCTTGATCCGTTCGGAGAGTATTCAGACAAGGAGCTGTGGGACGCTCTGGATAAGGTAATACAAGATGACTCAAAGCAAATTGCGATGTTTCCAAAGCACAAAATAAATATAAAAATAACATAAACTGAGATATTCTGTTCTCAGATGGAAGAATTTGTCCACCTTCCATCGAGGGCTGCCACAGTCGTCGCAGTGCCCAATTTTTAACGTTTAGTGCAGGAAATGCTAACCTCTTTGGGTTTAACTCTTTTAATTTTTATCTTTCGTTACTTCCTTCTTTTAACTCGTTTTTTAAATAATTTTTGCATCGTAATAACTTGGTCATCTTAAACCTTTGCTTTAAGTAATATTAGACAGATTTGCTTATTTCTACAACATCAATGCGCTATGTATAGGAGAATCCTAATTTTGAAAACTCCCTGTAATCCACCTATTCTAGCTTTAACTTTGAACATGCCTTTTTGCAAATTTGCGACAACATCGTCTAGCCCTTTCATTCCATACCCATATGATAGGAAAGACTGTGGAAATTATAAATCGACATCTTGCGGAGACACCATATTGGATTCAGAACGATGTCACGTTCCTAATTGTGCTTTTCTCATTCCGCCATTTCCTTCGATACCTATATCATAGGAAATACTATGGAAATTATAAGCGCCATCTTGAGACGGATGGAATATTGGACTTAGAGTTATGTCACGTTCCTTATTAAGTTTTTCTCATCGAGCCCTTTTATTCGATGCCCATGTCAAAGGGGATACTATGAGAATTATAAGCGCCATCTTGCAGAGGTCGCTATATTGGAATTAGAATGTCATTTTGCTTATTATGCTTCTCTAATAAAGCCCTTTCATTTGATATCTATATAATGGGCGCCAGCATATTGGACTTAGAATGACGTCACTCGGCGTATTATGTTTCTCTCTCAAAGCCTTTTCATTTGATACACACATCATAGGGGTTGCTGTGCAAATGATGAATCGTCATTTTGTAGAATGCGCAATATTGGATTCAAACTAGCAGCATATAGTTGTGTATTGTCACCCGGATCAAATGTGCATAAAAAATTTGAGGTCGATTGGTTGAGTGTAACTGGTTCAAAATTCAATATCAAGATTTGACCCACACTGGTCAGGCGTTGTAATCGATTTTGTTCCAAAGCTGTAAAATGGGACTGTTTGTGAATAATCCTCGATTATTTTGTTTTGCCCTTATATTTTTTAGGTTAGCTTGAAAAGTATCATCACAAACCTGGAAACCAAGACAACAAGTCATGCTTCAGGATTTAGTTCTGGGCAGAAGCAGCTAATGTGTTTGGCTAGAGCCATTTTGAGGAGGACGAAGATAGTTATTTTGGACGAGGCTACAGCCAACATGGATCCTGAAACAGATGCTTTGTTGCACAAAACAATACAAGAAAATTTCAAAGGTATGTCAGTACGGAACAGTTGAAACTTATCCTGTGGTTGATGATGATAAACCTGCAGGTTTGTCTGGCCGTTAACCACATACATATGTTTGAATTATGCATGACGTTATGGCGTCCACAGTGCTACTTTAAAAATGTCATACATATGTTGTAATGTTCTTGAACATGCTAGTTGTAATTCTATATACTAAATTCCATTTATTTGCAATGTCTTGGATTTTCTTTCCAAAGAGCTTTCAGAACAGCTAGACGGTACTATGAAACTGACTCACTCTTGAGAAAATTTGGTTAATTAATTCCGAATTCAGAGTAATAAAACTTTGTACAAAATGTGTAGACTTGAAGGCCATTGTGTGATATATGCTATGTAGCATTGATATTGTAGCATTAATGCTGAGTAAACAACAAACAAACAAACCGACTGCTGTATTGTACTACAACAACTTGCATTTTTTTATAGAATTGATGGATCATTTTGTCAATATAAAGTGAATTTGCACCACAAAAAGCGGATTTTGTTTTTTTGTGATTTCGATGATATTATGATTGATCTAACATTTTGTGCTATCTAGAAGAAACATATAGTTGAATTACTCAAAAAAAAAAACGGAATAGGTGAAGGAAGTTTTCTCGAGTTTGAACTACACTGTTAACAAGTTTTAAATAAATTCGTTCGAAAAGCCAGGTAGCTCTGGAAAATCTAACCATTCAGTAAACCAATTTTATTTTATACAATGATAAAAATAAGACGACAAAGAAGTTGCTCTTCGTTGTTTAACAAGTGATGGCTTATCACATGATTTTTGCTTTTTCCTGAAATATGTGGCTCAATATGTAATGTACTACCAGCCCTTAGAAGGATGGTATCGACCTTCCAAACATCCTGAATGTTAGATTAGCTGAAAACCTCGTATTGATATACTTTCAAACGCTTTCAATCATTTTATCTGAGGTTTGCAGCATTGTAAATGGTAATTATTAGGGACTTTTAAGATTCGATCACAACTTCGAATCGGCCAACTTCAGAGGTGAGTTACTAAGGAGTTTTTTGTTGAATGTTAAAAAAAAATCGGAGCGAAGAAACTGATTTTATGTAATTTGTTTAAAAACTATGTTCTAACAAAATTGCCCTGGATTATCACGAGGCAGCTTCTCGGGGCATCTAAGAGATGTGATTATGGAAAAAAAAATCGAGTCGAAAAGTTTCCCCCATGAATGCGAGGCTATGTGACTCTGGGGGGAGGGGGGATTCTCAAATATCGAATGGTTAATGTCACATACGAGATAGTTCAAATATTGGACGAAACTCAACGTGCCTTCTTTAATCTCGCAATCGACATTTTTCATTCGATAAAATTTTGCGATGCTAGGACCATGCGTTAGACATAACGGCAGATAACAAAGTAGGAGTATGAGTTCGAAAATACTTTTTTCTACGTTATTGGTCACATTTTTCCATCACAGCACAATGACAAAAATCACAAATACAACATTCAAGTATCGCACGCGAGAATTTGTTGCATACGAGACAATATGGAGCAGCGGGAGCATATGTAATTTTATGAAAATTACCTTGGATGTTTTGGAAAATATAACCTTGAGACTGCTCTACGCTACAAGCTAATGCTAAGTTGTGGCGCTGCAACGAGATTGAAGGTTGTTTTTCACATCCGAATACACCGACTACATGCAATCCACTCTTGTTTTTGAAAAAAGATTCCAACAAAAGTTTGGAACGTTAAATAGCAATCACAACAAATTCGTGTAGAGCTTGGGATGCACTCTGATGTATTTTAATACATGATGTCAGGTGGCCATTAGTGGTCTAATCAGTATGACCTACTGTAACGACTGAAAAGTACACGAATACCTCGAAAACTACCAGGTATTTTTTTAAAGCCTCCAACAACAATTTTGGAATATCAATAAGTTTATCAATCGATGCTCACTGATATGATCTAGATGTGGACCGGAAATGTCATTAGGAGGCAAGTTCTAAATTCAAGTACCAACCACCACTTTTAATAGCAAATTCTGCTAACAAAACTTTACTACATTCTACTTGACCTCATGAATGAAATGAAAACTAAATGTAGAATCTCGAGTTCATCACGCATCTGCTGTCAAAAATGGTGGTTGCTATTTGACTTTTCGAACTTGATCTCTAAATGACCTCTAAGGTTATATTTGTGGACATCGATAATTTGTTTTTATTTTGACAACCCAAAGCTTTCGTTGTAACCGCTTATAGAAAAATACGCGGTTGCTTTTCGTGGTGTGCTGATATTTAATAATAATAATGTTCATTGGAGCACTTACACAAAATAAAGATATCTAAATATAAAAAAAACACTCCAAAATTATGACTGGAAGTAATTTGGAAAAGTTTTAAACATTTATTCAACAAACAGGGTGCTATGTAAGTGAAAGCTTTTTTGAATTTAGATGGTCTGGAATATCATAACAATCATCGTTTCTTAGAAACAAACATAGCGAACAGAGGGTCTCCCATCCAAAACATTATACAGTTAATTTGGAGACTTATACCTTAAGACTTCATACAATAGAGCAGCATAAAAAGCAATAAACGATACTTATATTTTAAAATATCTTCTCTCACATAGTAACCAGTCTACATATGCTCTGTATTCTTGCCTACATATATCATTAGAACAAATTCTTATGCAACGACTCTGTAAAATAAGAATCTTTTGTTTTATTTTCTCTGCAAGGAAGTTAAAAATAAATTGCGACACCATAATCCAAATGTGTAAGGATCAATGAGTTTACAAATATTAATTTAATATCACTTGCCAATATGTGTCTATAGCTCCAAAGCACTTTATATTTATAATAACATAATTGGAGTCTATTCATAACATGACATTCAAAACTTGAATTTTTATCTAGTAGTATTCCTAAACTTTTTGCTTCCTCTTCAATTTAAATAGTGTTACCATCATTGCTTTTCCGAATTTTGGAACAACCAGCCTCGAACCAATACAACAAGCTTTAGTTTTTGTGAGGTAAAGTCTCAGAAAATTATGATTGGGTTATAAGTGGCTTAAAAGTATTTGTGATCATTTTTCAGATTGCACAGTGGTGACAATCGCCCACAGAATGCACTCCATATTGGATTGCGACAAGGTGATGGTGCTTGACAGAGGACGCATCAAAGAGTACGACTGTACCTCAAAACTATTAGCAAACTCTAGAGGAGAATTTTACAAGATGGTTGAGAAAGCCGGTTTGCTCGATTATTTGAAATAACGTTTTGTATATATTAGTCTAAATAAAGTATTTATAAATCGAATACGAGTTCCTTTCTTTTCTCACTGAATATATGGTGATGAGAAGTTGGACTTGCAGATGAAATTTTTACCAATATATCTTCCAATGCATGTCGAATATGGGATTATAGATCAAGATTCTAAACCAAAGACGTGTATAATCTTATGGGTGCAATTACTAATTTCTTGAAATTTTAGGAAAAACTTCATTTTGAAGTCAGCTGCGCAAGTACAGCTAAACTATCACGTTTGAAGTTGAGATTTTTTTCTGGAATAAGCGGAATAGTTGAATTTTTTTCCCTCCTACGTTACTGGCGGGGAAGTACTGTAATCATGGAAAAATTCCAAAATGAGGTTTGATGGTAATAAAACCATGTGACTCATTTCCGTAGGTCTGTCGGTCTGTCAGTCTGAGGGTTTGTGCGCCAATCCTTGCCCCGTCTATAACTTGGAAAGTACGGGTCGTACTTGGATGAAATTTTCACACAAGGTTACTACTCTGCCAAGAACGAAAAAGATTTTCAGTTTTTGAAAATTGGTCCAGTCATTTGGAGGTTCAGAGGCTCCTCATAATTTTCAGAAATTTTTTTGTATGGGCTAAAAGTTGGGAGTTGGGGATTGCAGGGGATGGTGGAGAGTATACCTCATTATCTATGTTAGTATATTCATACACTCCCAATTCCAGTAGTTCTACGCAAATATCACACCTAAGACCAGTAAGTTACCTATAAAAAAAACAAAATCCTAGAGAAAATTATGGAGCAACAAATTTCTCAATATCTCGAATATACGATATATTACAACAGAAGCCCAAACTGGTTTCCGAAATTCTTGTGATACAACAACAGCACTCGGTTGTATTGCCGATGACATTGTCAGTTCATTAGATTGCGGTAAAGATGTGTGTTTAATACAACTAGATTATAGTAAATATAAATATTATTATTGACTATGGAATTTTGTTTTCCAAACTTGACTATTATGGATTTAACTCCACTGCCACTCAACTTAGAAAAATCTTTTTTTCCAAGAGATATCAATATGAATATATTAATATCTACTGTATTTAATAAATCGACCCTAAACATGGACTCAGTCCTCTTTTATTCATCAGACTTATCAAATCATACAAAACACAGCAAAATTCATCACTATGCAGATGATACACAAATATCGTTTCTTCTTTCAACCTAATTAACAACGATCTGGATCTACTTTTTAATATCTCAGCAGCTCATAACTTAACACTAAATGCAAATAAATCTAAAATAATAAATTTTTGGTCAAAAACAAGCTTAGTATAATAAAATATCTATATCAATTAACAATTAATAAAATTCCATTACAAATTGTAACCATTAGCAAATATTTAGGATTATGGTTTGACAGTGAATTAAAATTTGACTTCTTTATTGTAGAATTGTGTTGTTCTAAGTCATAGAGTATCCTCAAGCAGTTACATCCTCAAAGAAACGTATTAAGCAATAAATTAAAATGTTTTTATGCGATGTTTTTATATTTTCAAGTTTTTTACAGCTATAGCAAAAAGTGATAAAGACAAGGTGTTATCGTTTTTCTCTAGGCATACGGCATATACTCGTGAGTCATGTTTACAAAATCTCAGAAAGTGCTAAAGTTTATGCTCATAAAGTTTTAGTGAATAGAAAACTAAAGTATCTTCCAAATACACTTAACTCTTTGAAAATATCGGTAACATGGCTACCAGAAATCGGATGTTATTAGTTATAAATAAACACTTATCGCCTCGCATCCAAAAAAACTTCTCTTATACTATTGCCAAGCTGTACAATAATCATCTTCCATTTGAATTTAGTAATTATATCCTGAGTAATTTCAAAAAGCAGCTGAGAGCATGGCTACTTAGCAATACATAATCACTTTCTCACTACTGAAATATTCATCTCTCTTGAAAGATTTGAAAACTTGGGGCATAATACACACAAAAAAAAGTGATTACTGGTGACTTTAATTGTCCTTGATTAGTTGATAATGATGTTGATGATGGAAAAGCCCGCATAATTAAAAACCTTCCTACTTTCCTTGACATGCATCAATTTAACGGTTTTCCTAATATTTATGGTGAGATACTTGACTGATTATTTATTAGTAATGTACATTGCACTGCAAACCGCAAATATGCTTCTATGATAAATGAAGATTCATTCCACCCGTCTTTAGCAATCAAAATTTCTGAAGTAATTGAAAAGCATCACACTAACAGAACAACTGACCATCATAAACGTTACAGTTTTAAAAAAGCAGACTTCATCTCACTTCATATGCAGCCTGCTGAATACACGGTGGTAGGTTTTGGTAGATACAGATGACGTAAATGCAGCTGTGGATACTTTTTATAATACATTATACACAATATTTGATGACCATGTGCCACGTCATAAAGTTTTTCGTCATAAGTATCCCGTGTGGTATACAAGCACAAAAGGCATAAATCAACCGGAGTCGCTGATTACGAACTTTTTAGTAATACCAGACTGAAATTGAAGCAGGAAATCAAGGAGATTGTCAATGTTATCTTTAGCACATTCAAAATCAGTTAAAGCTGAATCCAAAGTAATTTTGGTCGTTTATTCACCAAAAAACCGGAACCTCTAGAATCCCAGCTAAGATGATTTACAATAATGAAACGTTTACTGATCCTAAAAGTGAAGACAATGCCTTTGCTAGTTTTTTTGAGAGAACCTTCATTGCCGAAGAGAACTTAACATTCAATCCTGATTTCATTGATTGATACATTGGATGTTAGTGTCGCGTCAATAACGTAGGAAGAAATATTGAAGGCAGGAAAGCAATAGAGAAAATAAAGTATCGTCAAGTCATCACTTAAAGCTATTTTCAATCGTAGTTTCAATACATCAACGTTCCCTGACGTATGGAAGATCGCCGAGGTATGCCCTATACACAAGTCACAACAGTTAAATGTTATAAGCAACTACAGATCAATTTCTATTCTCTGTAATCCAGTGAAACTCTTAGAAATAATTTTATGTGTCTTCATGAAAGTGCCAAAAATTACATTCAGTTTACCAGCACGACTTGGTACGTTCTCGATCAACTTAGTAACCTTGAAAGCTTCGACCAATATTTGTGCGAAACAATAGATCAACGGGGTCAGGTAGATATTGTCTACGTTGATTTTTCTAAGGCATTTAATAAAATCAGTCACAGTATTCTGCTCCACAATAATCTTTCTTTAGGCCTTCATCGTTCTCTCTTATATCTTCTAAACTCTTATCTCCATCAGAGACGGCAATACGTTCATATTAATTCAACCACATCTGATTACTACGTTTCGACTAGTGGCGTACTGCAGGGGTCCAATTTAGAACCTCTGTTATTTTTGTTATATGTTAATATGCACTTGACTGGAATGCAATAGATTAATGTTTGTGGACGATGTAAAAATGTATGCGTCCATTGCATGTCTAGAAGACTGTGTTGTTCTGCATTCGCAGATCAACGTCTTACATGACTGTATCTTAGAAACTACCTGCATTTAAATATCTTCAAATGTAGAATAGTAACCTTTAGCCGTCGTTCCACCATCTTTATACAATTAATGATTCGATTTCGAGAGAACTGACTCAATCAGAGATGTAAGCGTTTGCTTTGACAGTCAGTTAGCATTCAATTCACACATTAATAAAAGTGTTATGAATGCTTTTCGATTATATGGTCTTATCATAAGAAACTGTAAGCTTTTTACTGATCTGTCGGCACTAACTTTTGTTGTGTTGTATTCTAGTCTAGTCAGGTCGAAATTAGAATACTGTTCACTAATATGGAATCCAATTTACAATAATAATAAAACATGTACCGAAAAGGTTCAAAAAAAATTCTAAAATATTTATCTTTCAAGCTTGATGGGGTATATCCACAAAGAGGTAGTGATTATGAAATGCTTGTGAATAGATTCAATTTTCAAACTTTAGAGAGCCGTAGAGGTCAGGCATCTGTTTTGTTTTTCATAAACTACTAAATTACAGAACTGACTCCATCGACCAGTTATCACAGCTATATATCCCTGTACCAAGAATTAATGCTACAGATCATTACACAAAGAGCTCAAACACATATGTTAATGGAAGTACCTATTAATCAAATGTGCGTAAGCGCGAACAGGCTGTCTAACGTCAGTGAAATTTTCTGCTGCAGCTTTTCAGAAATATGTCGTTTCAATTTGTAGTTTTCTAAAGTTAGTTTCAGGTGAATTTAGTACGTGGATTGTTTTTTATTACCCATTGCTCTGTAAATGGTGTTATACTGTTGGGCAATATATTATTATTATTATTTATTATTATTACTACTCTGTTCGAATACATAAAATAACTCTATATTTACTAAAGGTTGCTAATAATATGAATATTCATTTATCTTATTGTACGTTTGAGATGTTTTGAAGAAGTTCGTTATAGATTAACTAGGTACTAAAATTTTACGGATGATCTGAAAAATACCACTATGGTAACACTCCACCGATTCGATTCTCAAAATCTTACTGACTCATTCGCCTATTGCTGTTCGTTGCATATACAGGGTGACTTCGAAGTTGAGTCATTTATTTTAACAGTGAGTAGATCTGATCAAAAGAAATGTTTTTTCCTTTACCATTTTTCTGGTAAAATTAAAGTAACAAAGTTATAGCCCTTTGGAAGTTTGAGTACCGCCCTGTCTCAATAATAATATTATGTGCTCGTGTTTGGCAACAACGGATATAATCCGCCTTATCGGTTCATCGCATCGGAAACAAAAAAGCGAAAGAATTTGGAACGATGTTTTTACAATTATTTTATTCAGTTGTATACAGTCAGTGTCAGTCGGTAACGCGTGAGTGAATAGTGGTGTCTGTTGCGTGGCTCAAACGAAATAAAAAATGGCACATGTTTATGCGGATCGGTTTCCCAATCGAGCGCAACCAACCCCTCGTTCCTTTGTTAATGTAATACAACGGGCTCGTGAATCAGGTGACTTAAGACCTCACAGG